CAAACTCATATTAGAGTCACAAACAATAAACACATATACTTTAAAAGCAATCGATGACAAAAATGTGCAGCAAAGTTTGCACAACAAGTAATGAGATACTATTACTAAGACCAAAGCCAAAAGCTTAGGCTATGAATCTTGATCCAACAGGAAAAATAAAATCATTAGGTAGGAAACTTTGAGCTTTAGCTGAAAGGAGTATCAAAGTTGATGAATGTGTACCAACAAGTTGTTCGACAAAATGGTATTGATGGATAAAAAAAGAAAAAATGAAGACAATGAAACAAAAGGGAAACAAATTAAGGTGCATTGATAAGAACCTTAAAAATGAAGGAGTGTTTGAGAAAAGCTAGGGTCTCTTTTCCTTGAGCACAGTTCATTCAAGAATTTAATATGTAACATCAAGACATTCACACATAAAGTGAAAAACTTAACATAGTAAGTGGTAGAGGAGTATTGATCCAAAATTATTTTAATTAAGTAACATATACATAAATCTCAAATAAAATAAATCAACAGTAAGAGTACAGTTTGTATACTTCCATTGATTTAATAAAGTAAAAATAATAATAATAATGATGACAGATGTATGAACAACTACAATCCTCCCCATAATTTTAATGTACCCATAAAAAGAACAACACATGTATGAATCCAAACAACAAGAAAATCCAAAAATATAAAATAAAGAAACGGCAAATGCAGTGACAAACTAACCGAGATGTGCAATCCTGATGTGTTGGGTAGGGTTTTATCGGAGGTTTTAAGGTGGAACGGATTGTGAATTCCTGTGATTAAGGACATTTTTTACTACAATTAATGAAGTCCAGCTACGTCTATTTTGTGTAAATAATGAGCACTAATAATAAGCATCACATGTGCCCTATAAAATAAACAAAAGAAAATAAACCCCAAATCCTACAAATCCCAAAAATATATACAATGATTCTTTCTCAACGTTTCAATCAAAAAACCAAAAAGACAAATATCAATTATAAACCAAAGCCAACTGCAATTCGAATCAAAAAGAAATATATCAGACATGAAAGCAAAGAAAAACAAAAAGAAACCGAAACCAAAATCAAATGTCACATAGAAGCATGATAGAAAATTTATCAGACATGAAAGCGCAAAAAAACAGAAAGAAACCGAAACCAAAATCAAATGTCACTCAATAGAAGCGTGATAGAAAATATATCAGACGTGAAAGCAAAGAAAACGGAAAGAAACCGAAACCAAAATCAAATGTCACTCAATAGAAACATGAGATAAAGAGAGAACTCAGCAAAGGGAATGAGAAAAACCAATAAGAAATCTTTTTTTAAGACGAATCTTATATATTACTATGATGAAATTATATATCCAAGTCTATTTTTGTAAATATAATTTTATGAATAATAAAAATTAAAATAAGGATATTAAGTAAATTTTTAAATAACATTTAATTCTTTTTATAAATTATCATAATTCCAATCAAGCTACTTGTCAACTATGAGTAACCAGACTTTTTCGAATTTTGGAACAGGATCATTTTTTCGAGGGATAACCTTAAAAGGTTCATATCCCATGTTCATCATATATCGTTCCAACAACATAACATGTAAAGACAACAATTTTTTTTCAAATTGAAGGACAATGACAACATTTTAGGACTCATATAACATATAATTTCTCATGATCAATAAAATATTCTTATCAATAGAACAATCAAAATCTTTTGACATCAGAATCAAGAACAACCTTAGAAGGTTTATACTTTCATATTCATCATATGTCAATCAAATTACTCATAAAATAAGAGCAACCATCTTTTATCGAATTCAGCAACAAAGACATCATTTTATGGTTCATATGCTTTACACTCTCTCAAAATGAAAAGATATTTATATCATAGAAGCATCCACATATTTTTGACATCAGAATGAGGGCAACCTTAAAAGGTTTATACACCTATCTTTTCATTTTAAGAGAGTGTAAAGCATATGAACCATAAAATAATGTCTTTGTTGCTGAATTTGATAAAGATGGTTGCTATTATTTTATGAATAATTTGATTGACATATGATGAATATGAAATTATAAACCTTCTAAGGTTATTCTTGATTCTGATGTCAAAAGATTTTGATTGTTCTATTGATAAGAATATTTTATTGATCATGAGAAAATATGTTATATGAGTCCTAAAATGTTGTCCTTGTCCTTCAATTTGAAAAAAATTTGTTCTCCTTACATGTTGAGTTGTTGGAACGATATATGATGAACATGGGATATGAACCTTTTAAGGTTATCCCTCGAAAAAATGTCCCTGTTCCAAAATTCGAAAAAGTTTGGTTACTCATATTTGACAAGTAGCTTGATTGGCATATGATGAATATTGGAGTATAAACCTTTTAAGGTTGTATCAAAATTCCTATTTCCCTTGATTCATGAAACACGGTTACACGGTAAAGGAATCATTGCATTGTTATCTAATTTAGGGGACCGGTGCAGTAGTGGTGATGACAAAATATATTTTCTTGGCTGGTTTGTGCAATTGAAGGGTTGCATTTTGGTGAAAAAAAAATGAGACTCATGTTTTTTTATTTGTTAGAAAATATAGGATATATGGTCCCAAAAATAATGTTCATGTCCAAGTCCCTAAGTTAGAAGAAATGCGTATGCCATTATTTGTGGAAAAATTTGATTGACATATGATGGACATGGTGTATAAACCTTTTAAGGTTGCCCTCATTCTGATGTCAAAAATATGTGGATGCTTCTATGATATAAATATCTTTTCATTTTGAGAGAGTGTAAAGCATATGAACCATAAAATGATGTCTTTGTTGCTGAATTCGATAAAAGATGGTTGCTCTTATTTTATGAGTAATTTGATTGACATATGATGAATATGAAAGTATAAACCTTCTAAGGTTGTTCTTGATTCTGATGTCAAAAGATTTTGATTGTTCTATTGATAAGAATATTTTATTGATCATGAGAAATTATATGTTATATGAGTCCTAAAAGCACCTCACATATATCAGAAGCCTTAAAAGTTATAAAGCAAAGAAAAATAGAAATTTTATTGCAATCAAAAGCTTAAAATGATAGGAACGATTACCTCATACATATCATACGTATCCTCAATGGTGAGGCAGCTTGTACCTTCACAATCACCATCGTTTTCAAAGAACTCAACACAAGCTCTCAAACACTACATGAGCACAACATCAAGGCTGCTCCTCCTCCCATAATGCAGGTCTGGGTCCATAGACGCTTTCGAATCCATTAGTATAAATTAAAAAGAGTATAATAAACACAAACAAAAATAAAAATAGAAAAAACACGCCATTATTTTAGCATTAACAAAACCTTGGTTGCAACAAACTCCCTATCTCAAGCTTTCGCTTGTGCTTGCTCTTTAGATCAACTGCATCCATCTACCACCTAACATTAAACAATAAATATACAACAACATAGGATCATCATTTATATATTTATTTTTAATATAACATAAGAAAAATTGATAATGGAATTTTACATGAAAATAAGAATGCAACTTAACTATTTAGAATAATAATACAGCAACAAACACAAAACCTGATACTGGAAGGAAGCAAGAAACCCCTTCTAAACAAGAGTATGTGTCTTCAAAATTCTTTTTGGCACTTTAATATGTGACTACATACACCCTTTCTAATAATGAGAGTTCAACTTTGAAAGAATTTCTGAATGAATTACTGAAATGTTCAAAATTGAAATCCTCCTTATTCACAGGACCAAAGCTTCAACCTCATGATGAATATGGAACCCATAAAGAATCAGCAACAAATTCAACCCCATCGAGAAAAATAGTGTTTCATCCAAACCATCGAGTGGACAACCCAAGCTCTGATGCCACATAATAAATGAGAAATTAGTTCGATTAATTAAAACAAGTTATGCTGAAATATTAATTGGTATCTTGAAATATATCACCACATTCCCAGTTGCACCTTACTTTACAAAGGCACACATTTACAAAGATTCAATTTGGATATATCAACTACAGATGTTTACCATCAACCTCTACTGCCACCAATGCATCGCTGCTCCCATAAATTCAAAAAGAAGACGCACAAAATGTTTAGCAGAAACTTTAATGTGAGCATCAAATCCAAAAATTTTATTGTGATACACAAACACAGGTAGATATAGAGCATGACTCCAATACTTTAAAAATAATCAGAAAGAAAAACTGTGTGCAAGAATACAAAAGATATCATGTTATCAATAGTGGCCCCCACAATTTTAACTTTTCATGGTCATGGTCAATCAAAGACATCTATAACATACAGATTCCATTTAAGTTCAATAAGGCTAAAAAAAATAGCATAACATCTCTTTTTCAAAATTCATCTCATAGTGACACCCAAACTGAATTAGGTAACTAAATTTATACACCCAATTTTCGTTCAACACGTTGGGGCATTCTTGAGCAAACAACTAGACAAAAACATCACATTTTCCGATGCTTAAAAAAATTCATTTGTTAGTCGAATTTAGGGACAACTATATCGTCCCATCTAAGTAAAATTGATCGAGGATCGACTCAAACATTCTAATTCAGCTAAGGGTCAGTAACATTTAATAATAGTGAAACATCCCTTTCTCAAAATTCAATTATATAATAGCACCCACAAGCATAAACACGAAGGCATATATAGACATAGAGGCATGACCACACACACAAGCAAAAGTCATAGAAACACCCACGCAGAGGGAGTGAGAGAGATACAAGCACAGATAGATAAAGACACAAACAGACACAAAAACACAGCGACAAATAAAGCACACATACACAAATAAGGACAAACATAGAGACAACCCTAAATCACACAAGGACAAATGAGCAAAACCTTAGGCAGTCTTATACGATGGTGTCTTGTAATGCCACTGCTTCTTCTCGCGTCTGTTCCATATGAAATAGATTTTCGGATTCTTGCATCTGATAGAAATAATGGGAAAAAACACAAAGAGAAGATAAAAGCTACTTCTCTAAAAGGAACTACTTCAACAACAAAATAATAAAAATATAAAGAAAAAGAATCGAAATATGATTTACCAATTACACAAAAGTTAGAAAGAATGTATTTTCTAAATGTGGTAAAAAACAACTGAACAAAGATAAAAATAAAATACACATTCAAGAATTTCAACAAAAACGGATTTTCTTGAGTTTTGAGGAAAAGAAAAAATTACAACTATCGAAACATCCAACAGCTTTTCAATTTCAATCAAGAAGAAAGAAGGAGTGCAGCATTGAATTGTTGAACAATGTTTTCTTGACTTTCTTTTGGCAGCCTTTGTGCAAGGAAAAAATGACCACAAGGGGCGCACAGACACTTGTGCGTGTTCTTCAATTTCTTTAGGTATTCCGCTCTTGAAGATGCGGAGAACAGAGGACGCAACTGAAGACAACCCAGAAGCTCTGACGAGTAACAAAAATCAAAGAAATGCATGTCCACCGGTTGCTGCACCACACAAAAAGAACAAGAATCAAAGAAAAACTCTGACAAATAACAAAGAAAAACAAGAACAAGAAAGAAATGAAACAAAGACTTTGAAAAGAAGAGTCTGAATTGCAGAAACAGAAGAAAAGGAAAAGATGAGTCTTCACATCTAACCAAATATGAGGCATTGGATTGGCGTGTGCCAATGCTATCGAAGGAACAGAGACTCTTCGAAACAGAGATTCTTGACACTGGAAACGAATGAAGACTGAGAGAAGAGAATCTTGACAGGAAAACGACTGAAGAGTGAGAGAAGAGAAACGACTGAAGAGTGAGAGAAGAGAGTTGCATACAGATAGAAGAGAGTGACAACATTTATATATAGAGAGAGAGAGAGCAAAGGGACGATCACTCGGTGCAGAATTCACTCGGTGAATTATTTTTTTTAAAATATTAAAATATTAAAATATTCATTTCTATAATCAATCTTACTCTAATATGAATTATTTGGTAAAATGTTATTAGTGTTTTCTTTTAAGAATATTAAAATATTTTATTTATTTAAGTTTTAAGTATCCAAATTTTAAAATTAATAAGTGTTCTTTAACTTGAATAAACAAAATATTTTATTGATGCTCTAATTTTTCAAAATTAAAATA